TTGGCTTTTCATTGAATCAGTTCAACATTTTTAAGTAAAATTCAATCAAATATTGCGTGGAACAACTTGCAATAACACATTTAAATTTCATGATGCTACAATATATATACAGTGTTTTTGTGTCGGCCCATGCTTGCGATAAACATTTATTCTTGTACACAGGACTGTTGTGCCGTGAGTTGGGGTTAATGTACAAGATTAACAGAGCAGTGGAGGAATTCACACCCAGCTGTGGAAATAGGTTGCAGTGAGCGAGAACAGAATGAAAGCCTATTCAGGAGAGAATGAAATAACATCGAGTGAATGAGGTGGAAATAAAGTTCACAAGTTTAAGTGGAGGACGCTTTCAGAAAGGGAGGAGGGAGAAGGAGTCTGCAAGCACACAGTAGCAGATGCTGATTTGTGATTTCTCTCACACGTTTTATAAATGATGCTGGCCTTTCACAAAGATTAGTCTGAATTTCTACACTGAGAGAGGCCGATGTTAACGACCAGTTTGGAAACACACACTCTTAGGCGCTGTTATCCGTAGCTTCCTCGTGACTTCCTCTCTTGGCCGTTGTCTTCTTTAAACTCAACTTCTTGGCCTGACAAATCAAATTGTGTGTTAGTTCCTTTTCCTTTCCAAGTAGTGACACACTGCAGGATTTTCTATTACACAGCTCATTAATAATACTCTTTATACACTCGCAAGCAAGCAATATTAAATCACAAACACACACACACCCATAGACATGCAATCATGTGCACATAAAGCCTCTGGGCTATGACGAGATCATGTCTCAAGTATATAGCAGCTCTGATTATTTTTAATTGCAACATGGACCTGCAATGGTTACATAAATGACAGCTCTAATCAGCTTGCTCCCCGGGACTCTCTTCCAACTCCGGCTCTTGAAAAACAAACAGACGGCGTCACATCCCGGCTCGGCTCGACCACAAAACACACATCAGCACCCAGCATTACTTGCTGTGATGTCATACGCTTTAAACGCTCCAGACAGTTAGGGTGAGAGAGAACAGGAGGACTGAATACATGCGGCACATGGAAGTGCACACTGTGCACATAAGCATAAAGGTGCTCATGTGCACCCTGACGTGCAGATACAGTGAATGGAGGCGATGGTGGTTAGAGTAAGAGCGAACAGCGGACTCAGAGTACTGCGACTGGCGTCCATGGCGAGCCTTTGGATAGTTCTAGGGTCAAGAGGGTAATGATGGGTGAGGGAAGGGTTAGAAAGGAGTGAGAAATGGGGTGTGTGAGGGACACCGGGGCATACAAATGTCACATGGCTGCAGAGATTGTTTTTGTCAGGGCCTGTGGTTGTAACCTTAGCCTTTCTTTCACTGCTCTGCTATGTGAAATAAGGGCGTTGAAATCCCTAGGCCAACCTTACACACAACACAAATTTGCATGCACGTATGTGCACACACGTATGTACGCGTCACAGGCTCATATATACAAGAATAGAAAAACTATACAGGACATAAACAACATATAGTACATGTTGACGTGTGTGGCTATTTAACATGCACCACATGAGAAAAGCAGAACAAGCATAGCACGTGCATGCAACACATGCACGCACAAACAAATGCAAACACTTGCACATGTGTAAGAGCGAGCATTTAGCTCTGTCTGAGTTCACAGAGGGTTAGCCGGAGCGCCTCTCTAGCTCGGAGATACAAATCAAACATGACAGATGGACACACACACGCATACACGAACCTCTATAAAAGTTTGTAATGTAACCGCACCATGCCCAGAGACGCCACGTACCAAAAAAACACTACATCAATTATCACATCAACATTCAGCCTTCATCGGCGCAGCGGGATTTATACCACGCTGTGGGGGGAGCCAAACCCCCAATCGTCCCTAACTCATTGATCGGTCTTTCATCCAAGACAAATATGCTGATACTGATGAACTGTGATTCGAGGAAATGCTGAAGTGCTCACAATACTCACAGCCGTTCCCAACACAATGTAGAGACCTGGGGACAAACCAAGGCTGGGAGCCAATGGCGTTGCTTGCTTTGGGCGATGGTATTGTTCGACCACCTACCCCGCTGCAATCAGACCGCCTTTTCCCTCCATTGCCTCCCTGACCTCCAATCTAGCTTTCCTCCTTTCCCTGCTTACCCCCCCTCTCTCCTCTTCCACACGCCTGACTGTCCATTCTGTTAAGCTGGCCTGCACACTGAGAACAGACTGGGTGCATTTGAGTAGCAGAGGCAAAAGCGGGGGGCCCATTTAGCCACTTCCTGTTTCAGGGAGCCAATAAGTATGCCCCTCCAGGCCATTGCTCAGTTTGCCATGTGTAAGCCAATGAGGATTTTCGTGGACTAGATGAGTTGGCAGAGGTCGGCTTTTAGCTACAAAGACTGCGCTGAATATGCTAATGCTGAAAACTCTCACTCAGCTTGTTTGCACAAACACAGGGTGGCTAAATATACGCCTGATTTGTTCTGGTTTTGTTTTTCAGCGTGTGGTTGATAAAGTAAGCTGACTGTCTGAGAGATAATTGATGACCTTCAAGCCTGTGAATTACGGACACTCACCAAATGCTGCATGCTAATCCTAACCAGAGCTCAAAAACAGTGAGATATAGTTTCTCAGCTTCTCACACTAGCTTTCTCCCATTTTCTTGCTTTCTTGCACACAGACACACACGAATATACAAAGTGTATTAGTACAGCTGGCTGTCAGGTCCTCTAGCTCACCAAGAGGTCTCTAAGTACTGAAGGCTTTTCTTCCTGTCGCAGCAGGGGGTAGGCAGCTATGTGTGTGTGTTACGAGCGCATGTTTTCTGCTCGCTGCTCCAACCTTGGCAGCAGCGCGTCTCCTGACACCCACAGGAACAAATTTGTCTTTGGGGTCTGCTTCGGCTTTTTCCGATGTGTGAGTGCGCGGGTACATGTGAGTCGACAGGTCTGCTCATTATCACGAGCATGGGCAGCAGGGGAAAGGTGAAGGAGAGTGAACGAGGAGGTAAACAAGGGCAGAGCTGAGGACATGATGGCGAAACTAAACACGCCGTTGATGAAAGTCAAGCTACAAAAGCGCAGTCGATGTAATGAACCATTTAAGCGCAGTCAGGCCATCTTGCTTTCCTGTCATTGCTTCTCTAAATTAAGACATTTGCTGTAGTAACCCCACTCTATGCAAGTCCAACCTTGCACGCAGACCGTGGCTGCAGTGCTGATGCTGCTCGTCACCCTGTGGAATGTGGACAGAATCGTGTGTGTTTTCCCAGCTTGTCTCAGCTCTGCTGTGTTGTGGTCAGCGAGCCTGTGTGTGGTCCTGCTGAGGTTCAGCTGCTCAGAATCATTTCCATTTAAACATATCTGCGGTCCTCGACGCAAACCACCACTGGTATCCACGCCATTGGAGGCAACACCGAAAGCTTTGCCCTTTGCGCGACCGCCCGTGCATATTATGTTCATCGTGCATGTATGCAGAGATGCCTGAATGTGCGATTCAGCCATCGCTGGTCTTCCGATGTATTAGCAAAGGAGATTTGTCTTGTGCATAATGGTGAACAGAGTTGGAGTAGCATGAGTGCTGATGGATATGTTTGAACTTCAGGGCCCCTTTAGGGCATTGTGTCCCAGTGACTCCTCTCTGGGGTTCCTCCCCACCTCAAACAGCAGTGCAGATTGGATCACTGGGAAGGAATGTGGATAAAATACCCCCACTGTTTGTCACTTAGCTCTTCTTTGAGTGTTTCTTCTCTGACAGATGGGGATGGCTTTTTCAAAGGCTCTTCTTCAAATTAAGTTTGTCACAGTTAAAGTTCTTTTTCCTCTTTCATTGTTTCCCCTCCCCCTGTTTCTTCCTACTTTATTAAAGTGTTTTTGTCACTGTCACCTGTATAAGCAGCTGCGTGCTGTGGGAAATCCAGAAAACAGAGTGGAAGCATTTGCAGGCATTTTTAGCATCTGAATGGCTCATGTATCCATCAGCGTGAGGGCAAATGGCTTACAGAAAACACCGATGAACATTTATCACTCACAGGAACAAGGAAGGGGGCAACAGGGCTGCCATTGTGGCAACACCCCAGAAAGAAGAAAGCTTTCCCAAGTCTGCCTTTTGTACACACACTTTCCCATAACTCATCTGGCAAACAGGAAGGAATCACAGACTGGGTTGGATGCATGTTGACCCAAAACAGCTCCAATCCCATTATGCAGTGATAAATGACCCACAAGCAAGTCAGGGAGAGAGGAAGAGAACTGGGAATGATTAAAGTCACAAAGTTCTGCTGAAGGGACGACTTCAATTAAACAGAGGAGAATAGATTAGACCACTAGGACGCTGAGCATTACCTCGCCACTGGAGCTTCACAGAACAGGCTCGTTGAGAGGCGGGGAACGAGAGGGAGATGAAGCACGTCCCGTTGTTGACCACAGGGACCTCGGTGTTGATATGGAGGCCACAGCAGAGCTTCCTCTGACCGGCACCGAAAACGTCTTTGTTGCTTTTTATTTAAACTACAGCATAACACATGTATATGTGTCTCTCTTTGCACTGCTCTAAAAATTGTGTTATTGCATGTATGCGTACATGTGTGTGTGTCAGAAAAGTGTCTGTTCCTTTGCAATTCCCTGCTCTATTTCTAAGCAGATACAGATGGTTGTTGTGGTTGGTCTTCCACTGCAGTGTCGTGGTCTTTATTGTTTCTCTGAACGGGAGGATGAGCCTCTGGGGCAGAGGGGGTACGTGAATGAAACAGTGAAACACCAGATGAACATGCAATTCCACACACACACACACACACACACACACACATGGTTGCTGCATCTCTGTTTATGGGGAGGTCACAAAGCAGCCAAATATTTCCCAGACCAAGAGCAGACTCTGCATTAATCAGTCATATCTGCCAAAAACAACAGCGCAATATAAGAAAAGTAATGATTCATATTTCATCTAGTGTTTTAGTGAATATCTGCCACGCTAAGCTCCTTTCGACAACATAGCTTTTGACAACCACATCATTTTTTTAACATCATTTTATTTCAAAAGTACATAAACAGGACCAATGTTGTTTAATAAGGCAAAGCTCAAATATTAACAACCACTCACATCAGAGGACTCAGACATCTCATAGTCACAGTTTATGGGTACCACTTGCAAATCATAAATAAGACTCTTTTGTTACAATATATTTTTATATACATACACTAGAACTCTTTATTTTCTCATTGTGGAAAATAAATATTAACAGACAGACATTTCATTACAACCCAGCCACATATAATCATCATCAGTTTTATCTGTGTTTTCTTTTTTTATCTTCATAAAAAGTCAAAGTTGGCCATGTGTATCTGTCTTTATCCGTGTGGGTGTTACGTGGCTTTAATACCCAGTTCCAAGCCCAGCTACAGACCCAGCCCATTACTGCTACCTGAAAGGACTGACCTTTGTGGTGCTCGTGTCTGTGGGTTTGTGCAGTTGTTAAGCTACTGAGTGCATTGTCAGCATTATTACTATGTGATGCTAAACTTTGTCTCCTCAAAAACCTCTGCGCAGGTCACGTGATATTGCTCAAGCACCTTATTTATTACTACTTAGCAGCTGTATCCATTATTAATCCTTTCAGATATTCACCGTGTAGGATGGCACGTCAGGGCTAGGGACTGTGTAGGTGGTGAGTTGAAATTGGGCACAACTTTATACGGGACAGGAGTGTGTTTTGTTTTTTTGTTTTTTTCGGTGGCATCATTGCGACTCTTTTGCATGCCGAGCCAATCCAAGCCAAGTAAAGTTCTCAGTGGAGAGGCATGGTCAGCTCTGGTCACCTGGGGAGCAACGCCACAAGTAGGCAGAGCAGCGTCGTAGCGAGAGACTGGGTAAGATTCACAGCTCCCCCACACTCCATGGAGTTTTCCTAGAGAGAGAGAGAGAGGGGCGTTATGGGAACAGATATGTTTGAATCAGAGGTGTACGAAACAGGACTTATAGTGAGTTATTGTACGTTGCAGTGTTTGTACCTCAGGGTGAAAAGGGTGGCAGGTGTCTGGGCGCCTCCTGTCCTTTTGCATCTTCAATCTTTCGCACTTCAGAGATTCATTATGTGCAGTTGGAGTTAAGGCAATACTAGAGAACATGTACACTCAGCATTACTGCTGCTGTATTTCTCGTTTGAATTCAAAAGGAATGTTTGTGTGTGTGTGTGTGTGTGTGTGTGTGTGTGTGTGTGCAGAGTAAAAGTGAAACAAGAGCCAATTCTGAGCGATGTTTGATGAGGTTTCCTTTGTTGCACAGCAACAAAACAGCATGCTACAGTGAGCGCCCCACAACAAAATAAACACTGGTGGACATGTATACACAGCGTGACTGTAGTGCATAAAATTTCAAAGAAATGCACATTGTAGGAGAATTCAGCCAGTTATGTGGTGACAAATTAAGTTCCTGCAGTCTCCAGCCTTTCCGAGCTAGCTGTGTCTGCTGTTGATCAAGATCCAATCACAGCGTGGCATGTGACAAAGTCCAAACTCACACAGCCAAAAGAAAGTCTCATTGCCTCAGCTTTGGTTCTTGTCCCATACAGCAATTAGATCGCGTACCCACACGAGGTAGAGTGTAAACAAACTTCTTACTTTAAAATGTTTTGAATTCATAATCAATGGAAATTAACTATAAAAAATCTAATTGTGAAAGTTATGGAGGAGAAACGTCGAGTAAAAAGAAAAGAAGACAACATGTATATTTATCTCAGCAGGGTTTGAAAACCAAAGAATAATCAATCCTCTCGTACTCGTGTAGTTATTCAATAAAGTTTGACGCGAGGTGATGA